TAATTTGTGTATATTGAAAGAGTCTTAATTGACAAGTAAAAAAAACTGTCACATCATCGATTCAAGTTGTGTAATTGTCAAATTGTGTTTATAAAATGGAATAATCAGTAGTAATTTAAATGAACGGAAGTCTTAATGATTCCGGAATCATTAAATAATCTATTTATCTTATTAGTTGTACGTCACGCGATTGTCAATTAAATTGCAGAACAAAAATTGAAATAAACAATCGAATTTGACATTTCAATCTGTCAAATGTTACATATATATTTACCATGTTCTTTTTGGATATAATGATCGGATTCTCGGTAAAAATGTTATGTGTGTGTGTGTGTGTGTGTATCATAATATTTCGTGGAAGGTCTCGTCTCTTCTTCGCATACTTTGATGGGGAGGAGGAGGGTACACGAGAAACAAAAGAATGCAAATTTCTGATTCGGTTTTCGTATTATGTATATGTGTATATATAAAAACAATTTGTTCGTATCTTTTTTTTGTGGGTTAGAATTTCTGGGAATTTGGTATACATTTTCTATACCTGAAAGTTCCGAGAGTTACGTGCAGGTGTTTGAAGGTGGCTTTGTTTGGTGAAGGGAAGGCTGCGGCCGGCCGGCCGTTCGGAATATATGGTGAACGAGGAGCGACGGAAGAGGTGAGGCAGAGGACGAGAGATGAAGAGGAGGAAGAAGGCCTTCGTGGAAGACTGATTGGCGCACTTTCGCGGAACACCGATGCATTCGAGCGAGCACACACACACTCACACATATTGGTAATGGAAAGAAGAGAGTCGAAACGACCTTAAAGTCGAGTAGAGTTTGAATTCGACAAACTAACGAAAAGCTTTGCCATTTTGCAAATTAAAGTCCGTGAAAATCAATTTTCATGTACCGAAAACAAACGATAAATTGGATAATACGAAATGAGGTAACTCGATTCTCGAAACGAAGGTTGTTGATCTCCCTTCCCCAATTTAGGAGATTGCTAAACTATCCTCGGGTAAAGCGATCCTAAAATTTGATCCAATTGCGTAACGCGACACGACTCTATCTATCTCTCTCAAAAAGACAAAAAAAAACCAACAAGAACGCAACCGGATTGAAAAATAATAGAATGAAGAGAAATTGTAGAACCATTATCATATTATGTACGTGCATGTCGTTCCGTGAGTGCTGTGTGTTACAGTTACACATTATTATGTGCGTGCCCTCACGCAATCGTCACTTTATACCGAACGAAAGATTTGCGCAAAACAAAAAAAACCGTTGTCATTCGTTGTTCTGTAGAGCCTTGAATTGTTCTCGTTCGCTCATCGCCGCTCCTTGACATCGAAATTTCGTAAAAGTTTTAAATAAATATGGCATTGACGTTTGCCGTGACATACTAACAGAAATTTGAAAAAAAAAATATGAGCATCGCCGTCTCCGTCCGTCACTTTCACCTGGTCATTTCGGATGACCGCACGTCCACGGAACCGTTGCTTCCTCCTACTTCTTCACCAACACCATTTGGTGATTGGTGATATCATTGGACGACGACGACGACTTCCGGAGTGAGAGAGGAAGGAGACTCGTTTCCGTTCCGTCGGATTCAATTGGAGTCCGTCTCCATGCGCGCACAGGCAGCCAGCAACAACGTTCACAACAGCACGCTCTCATCGAACACATCCTTCAACGAATTATCAAATAAGGAAGCACAGATTACCGACGCCGATGTGCGTGCATGAAATATCAATGAAGCTAAATTCAAACGCACTCCATCTTATCGGGACACGTCACTCGCTGACACTTTGACATTTGTTTCGAAACAACAGTCATTGATGACAACGTCAAATTCGCATAAGGTTATGTCAATCGATCAGATGATAATCAATTGGACGCCATACTTGACCAATCGCAATTGTTTCAGTTGATTGTCAAATTTGACGTTTGAAAAATTTGACAGTCCATGGTCAAGTCATCGTTTGACCTTAACGTATTATTTGTTTTAATAGTCAATTCACAATTTCGAAATATTCCTAATCAAGATATAAGTAAAACATGAAGCGATATATGTTAATTGTATGTATAACTTTGATTTCAATCAATTACTAATCAAATGAGAAACGTAATTAATTTCTGAGAAGTTGATTAAACATCACATTTGACATTTTAATTGTCAAATGTCAAATTCTACACTAATTGTCAAATCGAGCAAATTTGACAAGATACTGTACAAGATACGACAGAATTGCGATGATTCGCGTCAAGGTTGACGTTTCATTATTATTTGTTATGTATTGTGCAGTTGTCTTTCCGCGGAATCGAATAATTACGAAATACGCCTCGCCATTACGTTATCAAGTTTTCGTTACGCGGAAATCCATTCCGTTAATAATCGTTTCTCATTAATCCGTCCCCTCCGGGGGAATTCATTTTAAAAACACGCTACCAAACCGAAACGAAACGAGTATCATTCCAGATTTTGAGAACAGCGAATCTCAATAAACCGAAATCCTTGGCACAAATACATTTCTAACATTAAATACACACAAATATATTTTAAACATACATACATACATTTTCTAATCTATTTTCACATCGATTCGCAGCAACAAAAGAAACATTTTTGCGAAGCGCCGCAATTATTTTTAGCGTTGAGACGATCTTGAAAAATCTTTACGCGTTTTGCAGGAATTTTATGCCCGAACCGAAAATAAAATTCTCAACTTTGAGCGGAAAAAAGAGAGAAAGAAACTATAAAAATACGTGCGTTTCCAAGAGAATAATATTAGAAGAAGCAGCGCGCGCAACTTCAATAATGATAATTTCAATTTTTTGATTCAAACTATACGCCAAGTCGCAAAGGTCGTCCATTTTTGTACAGTTTGAAACGTACGTTTCTCTTTTTTACAATTTTACAATTTAATATACTCCGTTTTTTGTTAAACAAATTCCGTATATCAGAGAGTTGTAGCAATGCAAAGATTCTTTTCCATCCGACATTTCAACTGAAAGTGAGTGATTATTTTGTAAACGTTTCCTGAAATTGTGCGTTAACTTCTTCTTCATCATCCCATTGTATATATAATTAACAATTTCCTCTCCTCTACTGTTGCTTCATTTTGCTTGCTGCTTCTCTTTATTTTTTCGTCATCGTCATTGTTTTCGTTTTCTTCATTGAAACGCGAGAGAGGAGAGTCTCCTCTTCCACACTTCTTCGGAGATAATCAATATTTATGGGATGGGCGTAACTTTTGCTCGGACACCGATACGCGTTCCGCATGGATTTGTACGTTTTAAAAATAGATTCGGAATATCTGCACGATGAGCGACTCGCGGACTCTTCTCCATTTACATTTCGCGAATACGCAATGAAAAGAAGCAAAAAAAAAACCAAGAATCGAAGAGAAAGAAATGCTCTTCAATGAGCAGTTTTACAAATAATTTTGTGGAATTAATGTAGAATAATGTTCAATAAACTGTGTGGCAGTCTCGAGTACGTTGTTATTCGCGTTTCCTTTCAACGTTTTTTTTTTCGTTATATCGTAAATTATTGGTAACGTAATTTGTCGAATTAATAATAATCAAATATAAGTGGGCGTTATCTGGAGGTTCAATTGTTCTGGGTTTTCCGCACTCCAGACGTTATTTATAAACTAAATAGTAAACATATGAAGATAGTAGAACTCGTTTTACGATGTAATCAAAAAAAAAGTTGAAAGGATTTTTGTCGTGTGTGTATGTCACTGCGCGCATGTATATAAATATTTTTGCAAGTGGATTTATCCTAATTGGAAGAGGTCGTAAATTGGGATCGCGCGTTTCGTGGAAGCGGCTTTCTCTTTTGCAATTGGAAGGAAGGATGACGTTGATGATGCGGATCGGCGGCGGCGTTTAAAATTGAGTTTTGTTTCTAATCCGGGCGCGCGCGTCTATCTGAGCAGTCTGGATGCATTATTGTTATTATTATTATTTTGTGGGCTGCTTCAGCAGCGGCAGAGCAATAGCCGAAAGGAGGTATGAAGAAGGCCTTGTGTGTGTGTGCGGGGCTTTTACCTCTCCCGAGTCGTCCTTTCTAAGAAGAAACCCAATCGGATTCCATTCCGCGAAACGCGGACACGAAGGAAGAAGGCTCTCGCACTCTTGAAGAACGAAAACCATACCACCACCGCCGCAACCGCAAACATCTGTCTCTCCCTCTTAAGTCCTCCTCGTATTCTCATCATCATCATCATCTTCCCAAGTGGATTGGAACCACCAAAAAAAAAAGGGTAAATTCGTTGCGTGCAGGCAGCTTCCACGGAAGATGCTGCAAGAGATGGATCGAGAGCGCGTTTGCTCCCACGCAGCTGCCTTCATTGTTCGAGCTTTATCTAGATTAGTTTATTCTAGGAATCTAGAGATGCGGGAGCGTCGATAGAGGGAAAGAATGGATGAAACGAGAATGGAGATTATTAGAGTCCGTCCGGGAATGCTTAGAATATAAATGGTGCGCTTTTATTTTTTGTTTGTTTATTTGTTGGTTGCTGCTGCTGATGATGATAATGATGATGTTTGTGGTCTCTCTTTTTGGTCGCGCGCTTGGTCATGCACATTCGCGTTTTCTTCGGTGCGAAAGGTGGAAAGTGGAGAGGAAACGAGAATAATGCGAGGTGGTTAACGACCTACTACTACTGCTAGAGAGCACATCACCATCACACACAACAACAATTGCACCGTTACCTTTTCTACAACAATGCTGGTAAATGTGTGGGACCGCGGAGAGTGAAATAAACGAAAACAACAACGACGACTACGCTCGTCGCTGTTGTTCTGTTCTTGTTTCTGCAGAACTGTACATTCGAGCGCGTTCGTCGCAACAATTGGTAATTAAGGGGTCAACGCCGAAAGGTGGTGAGAATTCGTCTTCGCTTTGCAACTCGACCAATATAAGAAGGGGGGTCATTAAACATTAATTAATTTTGTTATACGATGTTGATGAATGCGTTTAACTAATTTGTTGTTTTTCTTTGTTTGTTGCAGGTTTTGTAAGATCGGGCATGGCATGCTCCTGCAATGTTAGGCTGTAGTACGGTATGTCCGAAATGTCAGCACCAGTTTGCGTGCTGTCCGCCAATGATGTGCTGCGGTGGAGGCAGCGGCGACGGCGGCGCTTCACGACGCTCTCTGCACGTGCTGAGCGGCGGTCGGATGGTCACTCTGACGCCGGCCACGACCCTGATGTCTCCACCGACGCTGGCGGCAGCTGCAGCCTTCGTCTCGCCCCAAGTGAGCCCCAGCGTGCCGCTCGCCTTCGTCATCCCGCCGCTGTTCCAGCTGCAGCCTCTGCAACCCATACAGCTGCTACCGCAGTTCGTGGATGCTCGCCCCGAGAACGAGCTGCAAGTCCTCTCCGACACCGATCGGGCTCTGCGCCTGTCCGGCTGGTTCTACGAGGGCATCACCTACCAGCAAAGCCAGGAATTGCTCAAGGAACGACGAGTGGGCACCTTCCTCGTGCGCAACTCCTCCGACCCGCGCTTCCTCTACTCCCTGAGCGTGCAGACTGACAGGGGCCCGACCTCGGTGCGACTGCACTACGTCAACGGCTTCTTCAGGCTGGACGCGCAAGCGCATATCCGAGAGGCGATGCCGCTCTTCCCCAACGTCGTCGAACTGATCGAGCACTACGTGCAGCTGTCGCGCGCCTGCAAGACCGGCGCCCACGTCTGGGTGGATCCCAAGGGCAAACTCTACTCTGCCATCGAGCTCGATCGACCCCTGCTGAAGGAGGACACCGCTCCCAGCCTGAAGCATCTCGCCCGTCTCGCCGTTCACGCCGCCATCAGACGATCAGCAGCACCGCGACTCAAATATCTGCCGCCGCCGCACACGCAACTGGAATTACCCAAGTCGGTCAGCCAATACCTGACGGAGTATCCATTCTCCGTCTGATCCTCCTCGTCCTTCTCCTCCGGGCCTTGATCTACCAAAGAAAAAAGAAACATTCATCTTAGAAAGGAGAGGAACGGTTGGAAGAGGGAAGGAAGGAAGCAAGCAATCAGCAACAGCAGCAGCAGCAGCAGCCTACAATCCACCACCATTCAAGTCGAAAAGAAATAATCAATACATAAAAACGGGTACCTTTACATACCCCACCAAACCCCCCACACCCTCACGCAAAACAGTAAAAATCAAGAACATTTTACTTCTACTATTTTTATTATTATTATTATTTTCGTATTGTCAAAAATATAATGAAATTAAATCGTTATACCACACGAATAGAACAACACCGCATTAGTATTTATTATTATTATTATTTGTTCAACATTCATCAACAACAACAACAACAAATCAACGTACCGAGGAGGAAAAGCGAAAGGACAAAAGTGGCGATGAGAGGAGATGCGACCTCTCGGGAAAGTTAACAAACCGGAAACACTGTGTATTTAGGCGCTGTGTTTAGATAGGATAACAAATTTACCAATCATCTATTTATAAATAAATAAATAAATGTTATCACAACGTCGAGCAGGAAACGACGAGATGAATGGGGGGATCGTACAGAATCAACCGCGGAAATCGTTGCAGCATTCCAACGATTCACCCATAAACCAATCAACGAATACATCACACACAAACACTCGACAATCTTAATTTATTCATTCAACAAACTTAAGTTTTTGATTCAACCTCGTCATCTTCATCTCCGTCGTTTCCGTGCGCCGTTGTGAATTATGTGTTATTTATATTATATATACATACATAAAAGAACTAAAGCAAATATCAAGCAAACCGAAACAATAAGCGGAACATGCATTATTTTATAGGAAGAGGAAGAAATGAACTCTATATTTATTATACCTGTAGTGGAGAAAGACGGTTTTAATAGAAGAAGAAGAAAAAAAACAAAACAAAAAAAAAACATTATGTAAAAGTTGAGGAGAGTGCTGATGACTTGTGGAGAAGATAATATAATTATTTATTACTGAAGAAGAAAACGAAAAAAAAAAGAGAAAATAATGAAAAGAAGTGATTGAAAAAAAAAAACGCTTTTGATTTGAACAACCACTTCTCTCCTCCATCCATCCCAATTTTATTACTTCCACGTCTGTTAAATACCGCTTACAAATGAGCGTTTTATGCTAATCCCGAAATGCAACCAATGTTGTTTTGCAGTGTCTCGATGCAAAATTGTATTTGCCGACGATAAACTGATCGTTAGTTAATCAAAAGATTATTAAATCTGTGATAATCGAAACAACACTTTCGATCGTATTTCTCGGAAACTATAAGATCACGTGTAAAATTGTGTATGCAAATTAAAGCTGTAAATACTGCTAGTTCAAAGTAAGTATATGTAGTTATTTTTTTGTGAAATTCATTTTAAATACGTTTAAATAATTTATCAATAAATTCTTATTACCCGAATGTTAATTATCGCTAAAAACAAAAGTTATGCTGCTGCTGCAGCACTGAAATATCATAATTGATGTTACTTAGCAACTATATGGTAACCATAACAACCACCATCAAACTATTATTTCCTTGTTGCGTGATGAAACAAATTAAGAGTAGAATGTACAAAATTAAACAATTTATGCAACATTAGATCGTGCCGTGTGGCAAAAATGATCATAATAATATTTAAAAAAAAAGTGCGAGCAAAGGTCACATCATTATGTAGCCGTCAATAAGACTGATACCGACAAATCGTTTGACGTTATGTGCTATATTAAGGTTAATTTGACAAAGGTAACATCAACTAAAATCTTAAGTATTCACCGTTTGCTCATCTAAATTACTTAACCTAACCCAACTCTCGATCGATTAGCCAACGCGTTATTTTTCATTTTTGGTTTCAATAAAAATAATAGGACCATATGATGATGCGTAATCGTCGACTTCGCAACGCGACGGCGACGATAATGTTATTAATTCGCTGATAACAAATTTCGTCTATATATACATATATATTGTAAAGTCATCCTCGTTCCACGAAACGGTAAACATAATATTAACTAATTAAACTGTTTGTTAAGAATAACATTAAATTAAGTACGTCAAGCTCGATGCGGATACGTATTTTTTCCCAAGTTGTACCCCATGGAAATGTACTAGGACCAACAACACATATTAATAGTTGCAAAGCAAAACTAATAAGTCAAATTATCAAAAGCGGTTTACTTGAAAACTTTATAAGAATCGCTTTCGAAAGAAAATTTATCACCGACATGAATATAAAAACTGTAATTTTTCAATTAACATATTTTATGTCGTTTTAACGATAGGATATAAATAAACGAATAATAGTAATAAAACAAAAGTTGTCATCGCGATTAAAATTAGCGAACTTTGTACATTTTTAAAAGTTTGTCTAAACATTGTTCCCGACTATCCGCAAAACAGTTCAACCTTGTAAATTGTGAATCCGACAAAAATTCTCTATCTACCATCCGTCCGTCCGTCCTTCAATTGATACCTTTATCACCGAATCCGCGTTGCTTAACTTTCGTAAACAGTCGACCTCGGTTATTCCGGGAAGCGGAGCAATTAAATTTTTTTTGTAATCATCAACTAAAATTGTAATTTGTTTTTTATTCAAGCGATGACACGATTTAAATTATTCATTTATTTTTTGGTTGACACTAATTCCTAGATAAATAGGCATGCGCCACCGCGATGCAATTACACAGACACGAAAACAATTAGCAATAAATTCTCAGTAGAGATAAATTTACTTATATATTCGAGAGTTTATTGCAAAATAATTGTATGCATTACTTTTACTTCATTCTCTTTATCTCTGTCTTTTCATTATAATTATTTATATTCAATTTCGCAACCATTTAAACGCGTTTAATTGAATTCCAAAGAAACTGCGTTTTTCCTACTTCCCATTCCACACGTACACTTATTATTATTATTGCTTTGTTTTCCTTGCCAGCTGAGTGCATAGTAATTGCATAATTGTTATCCTTTAATTAGACCTGATTGCTAGTTTTTGTTTCCAATTATTGATGAAGGTGTTCAAGTGTTATTATTTTTGTTTTTTCATTAATTTTTTTTTAATCTAACTGGAAAAGTACGTTCGGGTTTACAGGATGTTTTCGTTTTATTTTTAAAATTGTTATTTATGCCACGGGATGGATATGAATGGTGATGATAATACGCTTGATTCAATTTCATCTCGTTTGCCGTTCGCTGAATCCAGTCGTTGAATGAAATTATGGATGAGACTATTAGTGAATTGGACTTTTGCTGTTGCTGTTGTTAATGAATTGAATTGTTTTTACTTGAAAGTTCCTTGAACACTTTTAAAACTTATTTTTAAAGCTAAACGACAATCCGTTGGTCACCCATTTCCGTAGCTTCTATTCTCGCAATAGAAGAGGATTACGAAATGTCTCTTTAGCTACGTGCATCGCTTACATGTGTGCATTGTTTTTGGCATACTTCCCGCCCCGCGTAATAAGGCGCACGTGAAGCGGTTACGTAAACGCAGCATTTTCCAAGATCCCGATGCGTTTCGCGGAAAATTGCATGCATTCTCGTTAACATAATTTATTTAAGATTTTTTACATATGTGTGAATGCATGCATTTTGCTTCAGTACATTTAAATACGTTTATTTGCGATGGATTCAAAAAACAAAAAAAAATGTGCAATTATGAATAATTATCGTGGTTGTATGAAGTTTATATGCAAATGAGGCACGGGCGTTCCGATTCCGCGTATCGGATAGATAGTTTGTATTTATTATTATTTTTTTTGCGAAAAGAGAAAACAACAATTCCACTGCATAATCACTCCAAACCAGATGTCGATGGGTGCGACAATAACAACAACAGGCGAGAGCAAGAGAACGTGAATTAAAGCAAACATTGTTGTGTTTGTGCAATTAGTTTATAATTAGCTACCGGGCATTTTCTTCCTTGAGCGGTTCAAGTATGTGCATATTTAATGAAAAACTAGATGGAAACGCTGCAACTATAATAGATTCCAATTTAGATCAGGTGTATATATATATGTGTGTGTGTGGGAATGTTAACTAACTTTGAAAGTGTAATTCAAATAAATAAAACGATTCGAATGGATTATAGAGCAAGAAACAGCTCATGTATCTAATTACCTCGGGAAATGTTAACTAACTATATACTTCAAACGAATTGCGTGATTTATGACCGTACTAAATTTTACTTGAAATGCGATCCGACGAATGTAAATGTTAACTAACTCTATAAACAAATAATACGTTTATAGTTTCTAAAATAATGTACAAATATAGAAAATTACGTTGGAAATCTCGATTGAAACGATTTATACGAAAGAGCGCATGAGACAACACGTCAGTGGGCGTTTAATGGTCTTCGTAGGTTTCTCAATAAACTACAAAGACGACAATTAGGTAAAGAGGATTCTGATTAGGTGACAAGAGTGTGGGAGGTTGGTTTGCTTTTGAACTTTTCATCTTTTATGGGCATTGGATTGTGTTGGTGGATAGATGAGGAGGGAGGGATACGTGTTTGGTGTACGTTCCGATTTTAGTGAACGCAGAAGGCTGACTCCACTAAAAATAAGACTGAAACAATTGAAATTCTGCGAAGCGATTGCATGAAAATTTATAATTAAACTTCTGCTAATGCAATCGTGCACTCGGAATTGCTAAGCGCGACGCGAAAAACGCGATTCTCCAGGAAATCTCTAAGGTCAGAGGACGGCGCGAACTCGTTCGTATACACACACACATTTATATTATTTATAAATACTCATCCTTCCCTACTTGCGCAAATATTTCCAATTTCCGAAAACAAATCCTCAACAAACAGAAAGAGAATGCGATTTCTCTACTTTCCCAAAGACACGTTCCAAAATCGATGAATTTTTAAATGAAAAGCTGAAAGTATGTGTGGATGAGGTTTTAAATAAATGTGATTAAATAGTAGAAATCATTTATGTAGACAATTTAAAAGAAATGGTTGTAATGTGGGGTGTAGTGGAAATGGCTTGGGTTGAAGGCCTGGAGCCTCGAAGAAAACGGCAACGACTTGTGGTAGAGATCGTGGTGATGGAAGCGGTCGTAGTTGAAGTCGTGGTGGTGGTGATGGTGGTCGTCCGGAAGGACGTAGTATACAGGCCTTGGGTTCTTCTCCAGGTTCGCCTTCACCAGACGCTCAGGAACCGCTCCGAAATCTCCGACCTCCTCGAAGTCCGTGTGCTGGGTTGTTGAGGGAACCTCGGTGGTGGACGGTGGCCCGTAGACCTGCTGGGGCTGCGACCTGTACCTCGAGCCGAATCTCGGGGGTTCACCGCATACCAATACGGCGGAACAGCACAGAACCAAAGCGGCGATAGCAGTGAACGACTTCATCTTCGGTGGACGATTGAGGACTTCTGATAACACCTCGTCGACGCCGGCGGCTATTTATATTCGGACCCTACGTGATCGCATTTGCATAATTTTGAATTTTAAAATTCAATTCATAAACGATTTGCCAACGCCGACATTGACTGCGAGTGCAGTTGGTGTGGTAAGGACGCGCAATTACGCAACGACGATTCTATTATCTTTGGCCCATTTCCTAATTACTTTCGAAATTTGGTCGGCCTGATTCGAGGTGCTGTTCCTCAGCAGTTGCAGCACGTCGCTCAACAAATCCACCGGGAACTTCTTCGCAATGACGCCCTGCAAATATCTCATATTAACACTCAACTGTAACTCAATTTTGTTACGAGACGAACCTGAAACACCCCGCAGACGGCACCGCGTTTTCCCTCCCAGAACTCGGGATTCGGCTCCAGCCGATCCAACATATCGAAGGCTTTCGCGGCGTACCAGAACTCGCCCATGCGATAGCAATCGTTGGCAATCATGAGCAACAGGTTGAAACTCTCGGTGGTGGCTTCCATCTTCAGGTAGAGCTCCCAAGCCGCCTGCGCTTTCCCGTTCATCACGTAGCAACGAGCCAAGTTAGAGACGTACACGTAATCGTTCCTGATCTTCGGATCCTGAATCAGGAGGAACGTCTCCTCGGCCTCTCGATACTGATCGCACGCCGTCTTCGCCTGGGCGTAGTTGAAGTTGAAGGTGTCATCTGCCAAAGAATCTGTTTTAAGTGAAACTCACTGTTTTCTGGTCGCGCCTTACCGGAATGCAGATAACTCTTAATAGAAGTCAGATAAACGAGGACTTCTTCGAATTGGCCTGCTAGGAAAAAGGCGGCTGCCATGCACTGTCTTCCCGGTATCGTATCGCATTCGCTCGCAGAACTTCCTACCAAGTGGAAACACTCTTCGGCGGTTTTGATATGCTCAGCCTACAAAACTCAGCATCACTTACTTTTCTGAAGATATTATACGAATAACACTCACCGAATTCAACTCTTGTCCCAAACAAGCATTGACAACACCCTTCAAAATATACTCTTGCGGCACCGCAGGTTGCAAATCCTTAAGCAAATCGTATGCTTCTTTAGTATCCTCATTCTTGAGGTGATTTATAACCAAATTCAACCTTGCCTCCGACACGATATCCACTAGTGGCGGAAATATCTGAAAATATATACACAATAAAAGAATATTCTTCTAAAATTGAAGAATAATACCTGCATTGCACCTTCACCATTACGAAATACCACCAAATTATGTTTAACCAAATCATGACCGAAACCGGCGTTAGCACTTTGCTCCACAATACTCCTAATCTCGCTTTCAGCCGCTGCTCCATTATAGAGTCGAAAATGATTGCACGCCTGAAAAAACATCATTAATTTAAAGTATAAATACAATAATCTGTGATTACTTTCAGATTAGTGGCGATTACGGAATCCGCGTGTTGGTTCAGATACAACCCAAGAACCTCCTGAGACACATCATAGTAATCCAATTTGTAATAACACAAAGCGACGTAAACATTCAAAGCCAAATTTTCCCTAATAAATAACTTTGATAATTTTATAAATTAATAATGAATATTTAAAAGATTAACCTGTTCTGCAAAAGAAGCCTCTTGTAGATATCAATAGCTTCCTGGTAATGAGCCCTTAAATAATGAATTGCAGCCAAACTGAGCTGATCCTCCAGGACGTCCTGCAACTGCTGATGATGCTCCATCAAAGCAGATTCATCCCCTAAATTGTGAGCCAGGTGGAAGTTCAAGCGAGTTTTCAACCCACTCGGCGAGGCGTTCACTAAAGCGTTCTTAGACTCATTGTACATTCCTAGAAATTAACATTTAATTTTCACATAACAATAAAAAATTGAAATTACCTAAATAGAAGTAGCAACAGGCGAGATTAACAGCGATGCTCTTAAGATGAGGATGCTGCGCGTTGAGGGTTTCGTAGATGGATAAGGCCCTTTTATAATCGCCCTTGTGGAAGGCGCAGTAGGCCAACCACAAGTCGATGTTGGGGTTGTTGTGATCCGCATATTGCTTGAACTTTATGCAAAGAAACATTAAATAAAGATTATAGTTATCTACGGATAAAACAAAAGCTTACCTCCAATAGGGTGATGGCTCCGGTGTAATCTCTCTTTGCGAGATACTCTTCGAAGGGTGGTAAACTGGTCTTCGTTCCGCTGCTCCCGCGACCCGCGCTCTTCGCCGAAGTCTCGTTGGGGCTAAAAGCCGGCTTAGCTCGAGACAAAATCTGAGCGAAATCAAGAGAAATATTATAAAATAAAAATGCAATTTCGAAAAAGAACGCTCACCATTATCGTCGACGCGTCAACCTCCAATGTTTGTTACTCTGTTACCCCTAACAACGGAAACGCAATTGTTTTCCAGTCTTGCAACTTATTTAACCGAAACATTACATAACATAGAGTTAACCACGTTATTTAATAATCTCCATGGATATGATTGCAATTAACATTTCTTTGAATTTAGAGATTCAACATCCAATGATGATAACAAATTGCGAAAAGTAATAACTGAAACAATTTATCAATCAATAATTTGCATACGTTTGATTTTGCAAATAAATTAAATAAAATGTAACACTTTTCACATAGTTATTATCTAATTGAATGAAGAATTAGTTTTGAATATTTGAAATTTCAAACCGGTCGGTTGCGTCATCTGCCGGCGCGATTAGAAATTACATATGACAACTGAGTAGTTGTTGGGTTAACCTTAAATAGATCAAGTTTGTTTTGTTGTGTTCAATGCAAATAATTGATAAGTTAATTCTGTTTCAAGTATGTTAGAAAACGTAAAGCACGTAATTTTGGTGCTCTCTGGCAAAGGGGGTGTAGGGAAATCCACTGTCAGCACGCAATTGGCTTTGACACTGAAAGAGAAAGGATTTAAGGTTCGTAAAGTTCTGTTATTTTTATTGATAAGATCTAATCATATAATGTTCCAATTGTTGCCTCGGATACTGAATTCATTGTTTATAAAAATGGTGTTTTCAATAGTGTTGCCATTGGTTACTGTTGTCGTTATGTGTTGGTTGTTATCAATACAATTACTTTGAGAAGTACAGATGAAAGTTAGTACGACTGTTAAATGTTTACTAAATCTAAAGCAAATTTTCACCAATATTTTAAACCTTTAATAATTTATAGAGATTTTATTACATTTAAATATAAAATTATTGCAAATTTTCATGCAACAATAATAATACTTTTATTTTTGTTAAGTTGGTTATTGTTTAATTTTTGCTGATCAACAGTTGGCAATACAATTTGTTGATTGATTGTTGAGCGTCGCGTCGGTTCTTGCAATTTTTGTTGAAGAGAAAAGGTATTGAAATTGAGTTAATTAATAGAAATCTCTTAATTTTAATCTTGCAATTAGTTTATTGCAATGTTGATGCTCGTATATTCATTATCGTTTTATTGTTTAGGTCGGATTGCTCGACATCGATTTGTGCGGTCCGAGCGTCCCATATTTGCTGCAATTGGAGGGAAAAGATGTGCACCAATGTCCTCAAGGGTGAGTAACGTATCTTATTTGGACGTTTAAATGAGTTAAATTAAGACGCGATTCAAAATAATTTGGGTTTGAGTAATCAATTCAAATGTTCGTGTTGGTTTGGTTGCATACATCGACTTGTGCTAAATTGTGCATAATATTTCTTTTAATTGATCATTTAACTGTTACTTAAAATTAAATTCGTGATTGTTAATTTTGTATTGATTTTGTTTTAATATAAGTTTTGTCTATGTTTAGATGGGTCCCGGTTTACACAGATGCAGGACAAAAGTTGGGAGTGATGTCCATCGGGTTCCTGCTGGATGATAGGAACAGTTCTGTGGTATGGAGGGGTCCGAAGAAGACAGCAATGGTGAAGCAGTTCCTCACAGACGTCTACTGGGGCGATTTGGACTACCTGATCATAGACACTCCACCTGGTAAGGAATTCGTGAGAAATGTATATTTTGCATATGATACTGATGATCGTCGCTTTAGGAACGTCGGATGAGCACATCACTGTGATGGAGAACCTGAAGCAGGTCAAATGCGATGGGGCCGTAATCGTGACTTCGCCGCAGGAGGTCGCCATCGAGGACGTGCGGAAGGAGATCACGTTCTGCAAGAAAACCGGCATTCCCATCATCGGCATCGTCGAGAACATGAGCGGGTTGGTGTTTGCGAAGCACTAAATTAGTGCAATCTTCCTTCATCGTTGTAGGTATAAACGTTTCTTTGCTTTTCGTTAGATTCGTCTGTCCGAACTGCACCGAATGCATCAACATCTTCAGCTCCGGTGGTGGATCAGCTTTGTCGAATCTGCTGCAGATTCCGCTGCTGGGAACGTTGCCCATCGATCCGAACGTGGGTGCGCTACTGGGAAAGGCCTGCGTCGTCGACTTTCCGGAATCCACAGCCGCCAAAGTGTTCCACCAGATAGTCGATGCCATTTCCAAAGAGGTTTAACCATAGATTTAAACTACTTGTTATATATATATATATATTATTTTTTTGATATAAAGTTTATGTATTAATGGTTTTCGAACGTCGATCAACCTTAACAAATCCAAATCATCCTTGCACATTTCGTGAATGTAAAACATATATTTTCCATTACAGATACTGTAAGAAACTGTTGAGAAAAGAGAATTTGTATGCAGTTGGAGCTGCTTTAAGAATGGATGAAGATTTTGCTGGGATGTAAAAAGTAAGAATCTTTTTTCACCTGAATATTTTATAATGATAAATTCGAATTGTAATTCGATGAAAACACACAACTTTGCTATACATGTTATTTAAGGAAATTACGGTCTCAAATAGCTCACTAAAGATAAGCAAATTAATCGCGTACATTAAGTTAGGTGATAACTTTTCCATTTACTTAATTTACCGATTAGAGAGTTACACAACAATTACGAGCTTCAGATAAAACATGTAACTAAAACTAATCCTATTAGATTATATGATTCAGTAATTGATCTTCAAAGATCTTTCCATAGTTTTTTAAATATCTGTTTTAAATTTTTACTTCTACAATCCTTATTAACATATGCATTGCCGTTGTTATATAGTGCTTCGGTCTTCTCTTCTGGACTTACATTTCTTATTGTAAAAACACTTCTACTTAACACTTCTAATTAATATTTCATTTTACTTCAATTTCTCATTGATGAACAATTTTCAATCCAATTGGATTGGATTGTTCAAGTTTAAAATAATTGTTTTTTTTATACTTACCCCATTAATTTTACTCAATCGTTCTTGTAATATCATCAAACGATTTCGCTCCAGTATCTTCATCAGGACTTTTCAATGTATAAGTTAGTTTAGTTTAGCATTTCCTGGTAGGTGTGACTGGGAATATATTAGATATAAGAAAATAGTTTAGTTTTTTATATATAAGATTTTGTTTATTGTTCAATTCATATAAAAAATTCTACTCAAAAAGCTACAAGGGTTGAAATTAAAGAGTAATAATATGAAGGGGGATCATCTATATAAATATATATAATGAATAACGCAGACAAGAGAATTCGCAAAAAGAATCATCATCAGCTATCATCAAAATAATAAAAAAAAATATATCTTATATCAAAAAGAATCACCAAATTAGCTTGTATAGAAATTAAATGGGAGAAAAATGCAACACATTCATCCAATCACACACACACACAACATTTTGATTTCTTCGTTTGTCCTCTTCCGTTTCTTGGAATTTGTTGTTCGCTAAGTATCTTTGTTGATGTTTGATTTTGTGAGAAAGAAAAACGGAGAAGAGATATTTTTAAATATTTTTTTTATTATCCCATAATATTAGCCTAAAGTAATAATAATAATATAATAGTCTTGGAATAAATACGAAAAAAAGAAATTAAAGGATACCAATATGTATGCATGTTGTTGTTGACGCCCTCGTTTCTCTGAATGGAAAAAATAATACAATTATTATATTAAATTATAAAACGAAACAAAAAATATAAATCATGGCAGTTTGTTCTTTTCGTCTCGCTTCGGCTGGGAAGCGAGGAGGAGGTTCTTCTTCTTATTCTTCTTCTTTGCGCCCAGACCCCGATTTATAAACAAAATTCAAGGGATGGAAAAAGGAACCGAACGAAGACGTTCCTTCTTTCCCCGGGTTCTGGAGTGCAGCAGCACAGGCTATATAATATGATACCTTCTTAGTAAGTAGTATATAGTAGTAATATACATTTTTATATAAATGTGTATGTGTGGAATGCACAAAGAGATGAGGAATGATTATATAAAAAACAAAGTAGTAGTTAATATAAGTAGGGATTTTTTTTGTGTGTGTGTGTTGTGGTTTCTTCTTTTTTTTTCTCGTAGAGGGTTTGGGGACTTTGGTTTTTTTGTTTTCTTCTTTTTTGATGTGGGCAAAGGAGTGTGTTTTTGTTGTTGTTGTTTTAGTTGTTTCTTTATGTTGTTTTTGTTGTTGTTGTAGATGAAGGTGAAACAACTTAGAAGCACTTCCTGTGGACGATGGATGGGCCGGACTCGTCGTATTCCTGCTTGGAGATCCACATCTGTTGGAAAGTGGAGAGGGAGGCCAGGATGGAACCACCGATCCAGACGGAGTATTTCCTCTCTGGTGGAGCGATAATCTTGATCTTCATGGTGGATGGAGCCAAGGCGGTGATCTCCTTCTGCATGCGGTCGGCGATGCCTGGGTACATGGTGGTACCTCCGGAGAGAACGGTGTTGGCGTACAGATCCTTACGGATGTCCACGTCGCACTTCATGATGGAGTTGTAGGTGGTCTCGTGGATGCCGCACGCTTCCATACCCAAGAAGGATGGCTGGAAGAGAGCCTCTGGGCAGCGGAAACGTTCGTTGCCGATGGTGATGACCTGTCCGTCGGGAAGCTCGTAGCTCTTCTCGAGGGAGCTGGAGCTGGCGGCGGTGGCCATCTCTTGTTCGAAGTCGAGGGCGACGTAGCAGAGCTTCTCCTTGATGTCGCGAACGATTTCACGCTCGGCGGTGGTGGTGAAGGAGTAGCCGCGCTCGGTGAGGATCTTCATGAGGTAGTCGGTCAAGTCGCGACCGGCCAAGTCCAGACGGAGGATGGCATGAGGAAGGGCATAACCTTCGTAGATTGGGACGGTGTGAGAGACACCGTCTCCGGAATCGAGGACGATACCGGTGGTACGACCGGAGGCGTACAGCGAGAGCACGGCCTGGATGGCGACGTACATGGCGGGAGTGTTGAAGGTTTCGAACATGATCTGGGTCATCTTCTCGCGATTGGCCTTCGGGTTCAATGGAGCCTCGGTCAGGAGGACGGGGTGCTCCTCTGGGGCAACACGCAATTCATTGTAGAAGGTGTGATGCCAGATCTTCTCCATATCGTCCCAGTTGGTCACGATGCCGTGCTCGATCGGGTACTTCAGGGTGAGGATACCCCTCTTGCTTTGGGCCTCGTCTCCTACGTACGAGTCCTTCTGGCCCATGCCTACCATGACACCTTGATGCCTTGGGCGACCCACGATCGACGGGAAGACGGCACGGGGCGCGTCATCACCGGCGAAACCGGCCTTGCACATACCGGATCCATTGTCAACCACCAATGCGGCAACTTCTTCGTCACACATATTGAATTAGTACTGCAAGCAAAAAAAAAAACAACTCAGGTCAGTAAACTTCAAACACAACAACTCTCAATTAATCATAATCGAAAATACCGATTGAGAATTGAAAGAAAAAATATGCGAAGCAATTTGCAATAAAAGGGAAGCGGCATCGGCCACGCCCTTACAACTCGAAACAATCGGCAAGAACCACGCCCATACGATTCCGGCGTTCAAATATTCAGCAAGAAACGCGAAAATTAAATAAAAAATAAAACACAAGCAGTAAGAAGAATTAAACCGTTGCGTTAAAACGGTTTAAGAAAAGAAAAAAAAAATGTAAAACCGGTTTCTCGCGTTCGAATTGAATGAATATAGTCCCCCACCAACCGTCGCGTCCCATTCATCGAGGGGGCGCTCCGAGGCCCCGCCCTTTCCTCCACGTAACAACCACGAATCACGTATATTCCGGAATATATTCTAATTCGATTATAACAAAAATAGAAATTTTTATTTAAAAGAGATATCCAAACGCTAAAGCACTGATCATTAAATAGAATTTGGAGATGAACCGAGAATCTTAACAAAAAAAAAGTCGAAGCACTCGAGGAGGAGGAAACACGCGACCACACCCGTTTCGAAATTTCCAAAGTTGGAATACCAAAAAAAAAAAAAAATCCTATTAGATATCCCGATTTTTTTTTCTGCGTTTCGTTGCAATTCGATTGAAAATATTTTCGCTTTCACTTTCGATGAATCGGTATTTTGTATGTATAGTGTGTGTATGTATTGTATTGGTGGATGCACTTACTTTAGGTATAAAAATGTAAAAAATAGGAATTATTTGTGTTTGGTGGTGGAACTATTTTCGGCACCCTCACTTGATGTTACCACGAACAGCACACAGAGTTGTCTGAGGAATGGACGGCGCCGGCCGCGGTATATAAACGAGCGTCCGCTCCGCCCCCCGCACCCCCTCGCCGACCAATGCGCGCACAGCGAACGGAGGGCGTGGTGGGGGGGCAGCTGGCGCGGATCGCATCACCATATATGGTATTACCGTTGAAAAATATTTCGACCGAAAAGAAATGAACGTATTTGTATGTATATATATGTATGTGTGTGTATACGATGATGCATGCATGCAAGGGGCGGAGGGAGAGGAAGAAAGAGGAATAATGCACATACACACAATTCGTCGATTTCGATGGAAATAATTAGCGAGAAGAGGAAACTGGCTGATTCATCGAAAGCGGACGGGCAGACACATCGGTCGGTGGTCGTCCGATTTTATTTTCGTTTCAATGTTTACTAAAGCAAGTCTGTCGTTGTTATTTTTAGGCTCTGGGAGATCCACGATGATCGTGGAAGAGATGCAGTTAACAGCAGGAGATGTTAAATTTAGAATCGCGGCGGCGACGGCTACCTGTTCGATGTGCCGGCATCGCGTACATCACGAGGACGACGACACCTGCCTTTTCCCAGAAAATTCCAATTGGATTTTCTGCGCTCGAGATGTTTTCGAATTGGAAACGTGCGTTTTCTTGTACAAGGGTAGATGGATTTATTGGTGAAAAGAAAAAAATGCAAAAATTGTCTGCTTACCGTTCGGGGAAAGTTGGACACGTCACAGAACAAGAGCGATCAACAAACGAATGGAAGAAGCCGGGTCGGCGGTTCGAGGAAGTGCCGGTCGGCGTGGACTGTTCCGGGTGGGTCCGGTGGTCGGTGGATAGACGGAAAACGGGTTTTCGGGCGGTTTTCCTGTACGGAAAAGTTGCGTGCGGGTGCGATGACTTTTCCGGTGAGGGCGGTGCGTCAGGGAAACGTCGAAATTCGGGGAAAATCGAAAATCGCGGGTGTCGCCGGGCGACGGCCTCCCCCCGTTCCGCTCGACATGGACCCGTCCGCGTCGGCAGACCCCCCACCCGACGGCGGCCGCTGCACGAGCGTCACCATATATGGGCATAAAACGAACGGCGGCACCGGATTGGTCGTCGGTTTTTGGCCTAACCTAACTGGAAGAATCGCAAGACGCGCTCGCTGCCGTTGCCGCCGGCCGGCGCGCCGTCGTTGACCGACCGGCGTATCCACACAACACAACCGACATTCGTCCATGCATCCAATACATTACATACTCATCGCATGGAAAAAACTGCAGAAAACGCACCCACCCACGTACCCTTCCTAGAAACATAACAAGAAAAAAGGTTGCTAGCAAGTAAACCTTTCCATCATCGTTCGTGCATAATAATAATATTTTTTTTCCACTCTTCCCATCTACGTCTCAAAGCGCTGAAGGTCCGCGACGACGGTTGGACCTTGAAACACAACGGCCACAACTTATGTCATGCTATAGTGTAGTATGTATCCTCCATGGCCTCTGCATTCTCGCTCATATCATCATCATCCTCATCGATCTTACCATCATCATCATCATTATTATTAGTAATTCTCTAATATCGTCAAGACAATAACAAACATCAACAAAAGACGCACGTTTCGAGCGAAGAAAGAGCGTTAACCCAAATCGCGAATTTTCACCTCGATCGAATAGAGAAATCTTTTCTTCTACGCACACGTTTCTCCAAACATTTAGATCAGAATCGATCAACTCTACAGGACAGAAAATATATAAACAACAACAACATTCAAACAACATTATTCTTCACGAATAATGTAAAATGTTTATACATAATTATACATCGCGAGAAACGTTGAATTCCACAAACAATTACTCATTACACACATTCAAAACCAAACGAGCTCGCGTTAAAAATTGCATTATGTTTCAATGATTATTTACAACTTTTTCGATATTATTATTATCTTATTTTTCCTTACATTTTGAAACAATTTTCATCTGCATTCGTTTCCTTTACTTAAATAACATTTGAAACGCGATGTTTTTCCAACATCATCACTACTACAATTTAAACTTAAGTAATATGGAACGTATGACGCATTTCAATAGACGCGAACTTAAGTCACATATTATTTATATATTACTCAGTGGAAACGGAGCGAAATTCTCGTTATCTCTCTCGTGACTCACAATAATAATTATGTTTTTTTTTTCTTCAAATTTTATTAGTTAGACGCAATTCGTTGGAGATTTTAGTTTCGTTGAAATTTCGTAGATTTTAAAATCGAGCGTTCCAAAGTATTTTGTTTTGCTTTCATTTACACGACCTGCTTTGATTATAGTAATTTCGTTAATTTCACAGTTCGTTACTTGTTCCATTACCAACTGAAATAGTTTTGGGTAGATTAATTAACTCGCAACTTAGAAACTTAATTTTAAGATTACAAAATGAATTTAATTACTTTGATGAGGAAATCAGAAGTTAAAAAATTATCATTCATTAAAAATTAATGAGTTCAGATGTATATTTGAGGATTAAACGAAACGAATGTTGTTGTTGTTGTTGTTAAGACGCTTATAACAAAGCTGCGTCGAATGCAGACGGCCGCAATGGCAGAGTGTAATAATGTAACCTTCTAACGAAATAAGTATAATTGAATAACGAATTCAAGGAGAGACACGACTATGCGACGAGACTTATATACATACATACACACATTTAGCGAACGGGTGGGTGGGAAAGGGATGGAGAGAGCGTGAAAAGTGCGCGTCGGAAAGAGACAGAGCTTTTAACTCTGGAGAAGTATGCACGCGGAGAACAATGACTTTGCTGCTTCAATTACCGTACATTTCGGATTCAATGGCATTTACTAATTAGAACTTAATAAGGATTGAAATCGCCGCGGCGAGGGAAAAAACGGTGCGCAGCAATTAACGTACGAAATAATAACGCGAAAGGAATCCTTCTCTTCATCTGAGAGAAAACATACAAACACACACACAGAGAGAAACAGTTCAATTTAATGCTATTGCTTTCGAATGCAAACATCATCGTAATCATCACCGCCCAACATCCAGAGAGCGAAACGTTTATCATCGTTTGTTATTTTACAATTGCTATGGTGATGCTTTTTGTTTGCGCGCAATCGACTCCTGCTCACTTGACACCATTCCGATAAGAAACTCGGACAAGGAATAATAAGTTCATGATTCCTCACTTACACTCGCTCTCCGTCATTTTTCGACGCTAATTGAGACCTTAAACAGTTTTGTTTACGCTTAGCAACGATCATTTTGTTTATGTTGCCCATGGTTTCGTATATATATATCTAACACGATATTTCCGTTGCGAATTACTTAAAGCAATAATTGTAATCTATGTAATGCAAGACGAACTCTTGACATTCGGCGAGAAATCAACGAAAACCGAAAGTTCCTCTCTTCTCTAAAAAACCATTTAACAAGAAAAAAAATCATCGGAGAAAACGAGTTTAGTGCTGCAGCAGAAGCATACATTTGCATAATTTCGACCTTAATCTTAATGTCATTTCGTCGATTCGCTTATTTAATGTTGCCTAGTTACGTTTTGTTGCCATGGTTATTTTTCATTCTTGACTTATATTCCGGTCGATCAATTGCTCCCGTTATCCGTTGAGATGTTTATTTATCATCTTATATGTTTCGGTTTATAAGTTACATAATTAAAAGTTACGTTCATGGATATTAATCAATTTGAGTATGGAACCGAATGCGATCTTCGTGCAGGTATTTTCCCGTTACTTGTTACTATGGTTACTTCTCATTTTTAAAGTCTGAGCTATAATTCATGGATAACTTTGATTAGTTTTTTTGAATTAATTAATTATTATATGAAAACATGCAATCTTCGTTTTGTAAGAGCTAATTTGTATTTTGAAAATTTCTTCTCAAACGCAGAAATTCGATTTATAATTATAATTTGTTCATCCAATAATCAATTTGACAGAGAAAACCATTTTCGAATATTTTCGTGTTTCCATGGTTATTTCCAATTTTTGACTTTCGATGATGTTATTTGCCATGGAAACCAAATTCCTTTTCTGTAATTTATGATGATTTTTTTTCACGTTGGTTTTGTAACGCGCGTTTCGTCATTTTCGTTCGTTGCATAAGTGTCGCAAAATAAAAAAAAAAGAAAAACGAAAACAAAAGTTACCGAAAACGGCTATGGAAACGGTCGCGCGCCATACATAGAAACAACCATCATAATCGTTTATTCAATTGCTTTTTTCGTATTCGTATTCATTTGTTCTGTTTATCGTCGTGATGGGAACGCGTTGCGCAATCATTCAATGGCCCTTCGATTCGCGCATTCCGCTCCATCCGACCTTCCGTTGTTCATTTATCTTTTGTTTGTTTACTCTCCTTCTTTCTTTTGTTTTCGGCGCCGAATCGTTTATTCCGTGTCCGAGTCGGAAATTCGTTTGTTTCTCTCTCTCTCACTCTTACACAACACATGCACATAAACAACATTCATTCATTGCGAACGGATGCGCGCCGCCACCCTATCCAAATATGGCTAAAATCTCCTCTCCGGTTGGACCTTTTTCTGAATGGCCATTGGAAATCAATCGATCGATCGAGAGAGAACCCGAACCTACGCTTCCTTTTTCTTCGTTCCTCTCTTTAACTCTTTCCTCTTTCACTCTGCGCGTTTCCGATATTGTTGCAGAGCTGCGACCTCAAAACGCATCTGTTATGTAACGAATTCCGGCTGCCCCGTTCGATGATGATGATAATCGGACAACTATTCAAATCTTTTCCTAATTAATTTGAAAGAGGAACCGTTTTTCAAAGAAACACACGGTTTACTTTTCATGCCATTTGCATGAACACTTTCAAAAAAAAGTTACATTTGTGATGCTTAAGTCTGTTTTAAATTAGCTATCTTAAGTGTCACACAATTTGACAGTCCATTTTTGTTTTGACTTAAGACTTGACTGTCAAATTTGACAGATTTTTTAACCTTAAGTGTAACAAAAATTTGACAGTTTTATTTTGACATAAGTGACATCTGTGCAGCAATCATTTGAAAATTCAAATTACTTCAACTCAACTAAAATCTGAATGAAATCTTCTTGTATTTTCAGTAATTACATCAAATCGAGAGTCGTCTGCAGCTGCGGTGTTGCAAATCAAAGATTATTGCATTACACACGTCTTTTGGGTGGAGAGAGAGAGCGAAAAATAAATAGAAGATTGAAGCATGCGGCTCTCTGCATATCCCGTAAGCCGCGGATGATTGGCTTCGGATCGAATCCTGTTGCCAAGACGACGACGACTACGACGCGCTAATACTGTTTATTCTTCGGGTTATTCAATTGTCGTCGCCATGGGAAAATCATATTTGTTTGGATGTCACCGCATCTGTCTCACGCGGTAAGTTGACGCGAGACTCTTCGTCTCTCTTTTCCGTTTTTGTTTTCTTCTTTTCGCTTGCGGAAAATTGATGGATTTTGGGCTGTTGCCAACCGAAGTCTCGAAGGCACCCAACGAAACAACAGTGGTGGAGAGTTCGTGCGTGCGTGCGTTCGTTCGTTCGTTCCGACGAGAGGCATTCGCCTTGAACTTGGTCGTTGTTGGAATTGCTCCTCTCTCAGACGTACGCTAGACGGACCCCGCCGCACGCACACACACACACGCGAATATATCTGGATAGGTTTCATGCTAATATCGATCCAGACGAAATTTTCGAGGCGGCGGCGGCGGCTGCTGTGAGAGGCGGCTCTGGCCACGTGCGTTTCCACCGCTATTATTTCGCAGACGGGTGGAAAATCCGAGAGGAGAAAAATCGATGCAAC